GACTTCCTGACTCTCGGCTCTAAACCTATGTCCAGGTGGAAAGTTACATCTGTAGTCCTTAAACATAGTTACCCAGGCCCCGAAACAGCACAAGAAAACGGAAGCGAACTCTTCAGAGCTTGTAAAAGGAACAAAGCAGCTGCTGCTTTTTTAATCGCTGACTTTCGATTGATTAAACTGTCATCATTTTTTATTCTTTTTTCTTATTTAAAAATTAAAAAACAGGTTGTGTTGACTTACAACACACATCTCCATAAAAATATATTGATTCACTATAAAATGTCTACATTAGTGCCAGATAAATTGAGAATTTCATGCCTAGACTTTTAAGAAGTTTAATGTTCTCAAAAGAAACAGCATTATTCCCTTTGTTTCAGATGAGGCTGGGCTCATGTTCATGATTACAAACTCAGAGAGATATAATTGGACAGGCACACCTGGTAGAGTAGGTTAAGATCGTCACAACCACTCATCCCCAGCTACGTACAGTAGTGAGCTGCAACGCCATTTGACAAATCCCCCAACAGAGCTCTGTATACCCACTACAAAATGCACACAACTGCACAACCACCAAAATGAAAACGGCTGTTGTATAGAATTGTATCGTAGTTGTAGAGTTGTTAGTGGTTGTATAGAGCGCCCTTGACATATGTAACTCTATCTTAGAAAAAGACTCCATCTTACATTTCACAGGGCGCTTTGGCAACAGAGACAAGATGTTTCGCTTGGTAAATAACTAATAAAGACTGCATCCCACCAGATAACGACATAAACAAGCACATTCTTCCAGTATCAGCCTCCCCAGAGGACTCTGGCCATAAAACGATCAGGGCTTCAGCAGCTCTAAATGACTGTCTTAACTGGCGATCATCCCGCTGTCATTTGTGATAAGCGCTTGACATCTGCTGTCCAAGTTTCTACCCACATCAAAGATTCTTTCTTGCACGACCAACAGACTTGGCCGGACCCGGAGACTCTTTATGTCTTCATCACTCTCCCCCTGCAGTTTCAAATCTGCGGACCACACCGTTCCCAAGAGTGGCTTAGAGTCAGAGATAACCAGGTCCACATACTTTGTATCTTTCCACAATGGCAGGCTTTTATTGATGCTGTTTCTTTTTTTTTTTTTTTTTTTTTTTTTTAGGCGGAGTTTCGCTCCTGTTTCCCAGGCTGGAGTGCAATGGCGCGATCTCGGCTCACCGCAACCTCCGCCTCCTGGGTTCAGGCAATTCTCCTGCCTCAGCCTCCTGAGTAGCTGGGATTACAGGCACGCGCCACCATGCCCAGCTAATTTTTTGTATTTTTTAAGTAGAGACGGGGTTTCACCATGTTGACCAGGATGGTCTCGATCTCTCGACCTTGTGATCCACCCGCCTCGGCCTCCCAAAGTGCTGGGATTACAGGCTTGAGCCACCGCGCCCGGCCTATTGATGCTGTTTCAATCACAAAAGCCATGAGCTGCATGGAGTTCCCAAAGAGGCATGTGATGGTTAACATTAGGTATCAACTTGATTGGGTTGAAGGCAGCCTAGGTAGCTGGCATCTATGAGACATCTGGGGCGTCTATGAGGGTGTTGCCAGAGGATACTGACATTTGAGTCAGTGGATGGAGAGAGGAAGACCCATACTCAGTGTCGGTGGGCATCATCCAATTGGCTGCCGGCTGGCCTAGAACACAGTAGGCAGAAGAAGGTGGGACACGTTTGCTTGCTGAGTGTTCTGGCTTTCATCTTCCTCCCGTGCTGGAGGCTTCCTTCGGCTCCTCCTGCCCTTGGACATCAGATTCCAGGTTTTTCGGCCTTTGGACTCTTAGACTTACACTGCCGGTTTGCTGGGAGCTCCCAGGCCTTTGGCCACAGGCTGAAGGCTGCATGCCTGGCCTCCCTGCTTCTGAGGTTTTGGACTTGGACTGAGCCCCTAGTGGCTTCTTTCTTCCTCAGCTTGCAGATGGCCTGTCATGGGACTTCACCTTGTGATCGTGTAAGCCGACTCTCCCCAACAAACTCCCTTTTATATAAGTACCTCTATCCTATTAGTTCTGTGCCTCTGGAGAATGCTGGCTCGTATAATGCTGTTCTCTTCAGTACTGCCCTTTGCCACAGGGACACAGGCTCAAGCCACTTCACAAGTCAGTCAGTATTGCAAACCACACATAGTAGTGTACTTAATCAATATATATAAATGTTAAACATTATATAGATTAATAAAGTAATGTTTCATAATAAACAAAGTAATGTTTAACATCAAGAGAAAAGACATAGGAGAAAGGGTTAATAACTCAATGTAGGGAGATCAACAAAGAAAAAAAGAATCTCCTGGTCAGGGCTGGGCAGGCCCATCCGGTCTTGGTCTCGCAAAGAGAAGTCTTTGATGTGGGCAGAGGTTTTAGCAGCAGATGCCAAGTTCTTATCGCCAATGACAGCAGGACAGTTCTCAGTGAAGATGGTCATTCCAAGCTGCTGAAGCCCTGCTGTTTTTATGGGAAGAGTTCTCTGGGAGGGACTGATAGTAGAAGAATGTGCTTGTTTATATCCTTGTCTGGTTGGATGCAGTCTTTATTATTTGTTTATTAAGCAAAACATCTTGTCCCTGTTGAAAAGTGTCCTGTGGAATGCAAGACAGAGTCTTTTTCTAAGGTGGAGTTACGTATGTCAAGGGTGCTTTATACAGTAGTCTTAGCCACATGTTCATAAAAACATACGATCTCATCCATGGCATAATCAAGACCAAAAACCTCAAAGGCACCCTCCCTTGCCTCAACTCCAGGAGGCTCCCTGATAAGCCCACACAATCTCAAATCAATCACAGCCACCAGTGGGTTCTATTCCAACAACTGCATATATTTTTTCGGACAAAGCATGTCACACCCCAGTGCTATTCTAAACTACACCCTTTTGTAAGCCCCCTGCTATTTTGCAGACTTGGTCAAAGTGAAACATTCCATGGGGGTTGGGGCCGTGAGAAACATCCTGCCCCACCAGCTGACCACAAGGCAGAAAATGACCCGATAAAAGAAACATTCTCATCATAACCTACCAGGCAAAGCCCAACTTAAAAAAAAAAAAAATCCCTATAATATCTTGCTGGACAAAGGGTCAAGGAGCACCCTGATGACATCCCAGCGGAAAAAGGGCCAAAGTGCCTGATCATAAAAACATCTTGTCAATATCCTGCCCAGCAGCAAGCCATAGGGCTCAGACCTCTCCCACCCATACCTACCTCAGCCTGTAAGCCAGAGCAGACTCTGGTATCAAGCTGGTCCCCCACTTCTGAAGTGTCTGCAATATGCCTGTGTTGCTGTCCAGCCATTGCGTGTGTGTATGTGTGTGTCTTTAACCCTTGCCTTTCCTTGAAAACCTAACACCCAGGAAACAATCTCACAGGTAGAAACCACATCACCAACAGAAACGACAAAAGGCCAGGTCAGGGTCACAGGGGCAGTCTCAAGGTAACACTCACAGAGACATTCGAAGAGTCAGGCAGTGCTCTCAAGACAGGAACAGCATCAGAGACCAAAACACAAAGTCCTGCCGGTACAGAGAGAGCCTTGGTACAGACCATGTGAGGACCAGGTCACTCCCATGGAACCTTCTCAAGATCCCTAAACACGTGTCTGGACCCTCCCCCAATCTACTGTGGGGGTGGGGGGGACGGGCAGTACTGAAATGCCCCCAAAATCTCACGTGTGAACATCCTACCTAACACTTTCTAAAGGCATTTCCAGCTCGGGGCTGTATTTCCGAGAACCGTCTGGAGGAGGCACAGCTGCTGGGAAATTTTTGAACTTTTCCCAAATCAGAGCTTCTAAGATTTCTGGGCGTATTATTACTATTATTATTATTATTATTATTGTTATTTTGAGACGGAGTTTCACTTTTGTTACCCAGGCTGGAGTGCAATGGCGCGATCTCGGCTCACTGCAACCTCTGCCTCCTGGGTTCAGGCAATTCTGCCTCAGCCTCCTGAGTAGCTGGGATTACAGGCACGCGCCACCATGCCCAGCTAATTTTTTGTATTTTTAGCAGAGACGGGGTTTCACCATGTTGACCAGGATGGTCTTGATCTCTTGACCTCGTGATCCACCCGCCTCGGCCTCCCAAAGTGCTGAGATTACAGGCTTGAGCCACTGCGCCCGGCATTATTATTATTATTATTATTATTATTATTATTATTATTATTATCAGGCTGGAGTGCAGTGGCGCAATTTCGGCTGACTGCAACCTCTGCCTCCCGGTTCAAGTGATTCTCCTCCCTCAGCCTCCCAAGTAGCTGGGATTACAGGCGCCTGCCACCACGCCCGGCTAATTTTTGCATTTTTAGTAGTGATGGGGGAGTTTCACGATGTTGGCCAGGAGGGTCTCGAACTCCTGGCCTCTGGTGATACACCCGCCTCGGTCTCCCAAAATGCTGGGATTACAGGTGTGATTTCTGGGCGTTGCAGACTACATTTCCCAGAAGGCCGCGGGGTCATGCCTCCCCTACAGTTGGATCCCAAATGCAAGTTGGGAGCAATTAGAACTGTAGGCTCCCAGGCCTTAACCACTTTTCCCGGGAGTTTTTTGTGGTGCTCTTTAGGAGAAGAAGTTTCAGGACGGGAGAAAGCCGACGGCTTCCAGCATTTGAGGATTCTCCCAATCTGAAATACACTTCCCCTGAAGTCTATGAGGCGCAGCTGCTCTAAAGGTGGGAAGAGACGCCGGCGAAGAGCTTTCTGAGAGCCGCGCTTCTAACGCTGAGGATTCCCGCGCAGTGAGCATTTCCCAGAGGCCTCTGGGGCACGACTCCATTAGGGCCGTGTCCACTTAACACGCTGCGAAACACTGATGAGCGCCCTTGCAGCTGCGTCGGTTCCCGGGTTATGGACTACATTTCCCTGAAGCCCTCAAGGCACCGCGTCATTAAGACCGTGTTGAGTTGCATGCTGGGAAACCCTGACGGCCGCTTCCAACTCTGTGGATTCCCCGGGTTACGGACTTCATTTCCCAGAGGCCTTTGGGGCACAGTCCAATGAAGAGCGAGCCGGATCGCCGGCTGAGGGGCGTGCTTCATCCTCGCGGAATTTTTAAAAATGGTTGCCCCCGCACCTTGTCACGGCTGCGCCTGGGGCCCCGTTTCATCTCCTAGTGTCCTGGGTGTGGTTAGGCCCCAAGCCGGGGAGCTATTTGCCTCTCACAGGAGAAAGCCAGGGCGGGGTTCCGCGGGGAATGGCGGTGAGGGAGCCACTTGGGACGAGGAGACCCTAAAATGAAGACGCTTCGGGCTTGAGGCTTCGGAAGGGGCGGGCAGGGAAGCGCGAGAGAGTGTGTGTGTGTGTGTGTGTGTGTGTGTGTGTGTTGCCGACCGGTCCCCCCGCCGTGGCCCAGTGACTGAGTCAGTGGATGCGAGCGTCCCTGGGGTGATGCGAACCGGCCCCCTTCCCATCGCCATGGTGCATGCGGGGTGAACGCGGCCGGGCTCTGCACCCGGAAACGGTGACGCAATGTGTGTGGACGTCTATGCGGGCCGCAGGGCCGGGCTGCCAGGGCACCTGCAGGGGCGACGCAGCCGGACCGTGCCTCTCTGCGCCTCCACTCCGTGTGACGTCAATGCCCGTGGGCTCTGCGAGGGTGGCACGGCCGGGACGGGTCTCCGTGTCTCTGAAACGTGCTTCTGCACTTCCGTCGGGGTGACGGGGACAGGCAGTGTCTGTCTGGCGGGGGCGTGTGTGGGTGTGAAAGGGCCATGTGCGACTGTGACAGGTCGGGATCGCGCCCGCGTGCTTGGACTTTGGAGTGAGCACCGGGGTGTGCCGACTGTTGTCATCTGTATTTCTAGTGTCTCCGCTGCTGGCCGTGCCTTCGCCTTCCAACCATGTGGTGCTTGCTAGAGAGCAGGGGTCCCAAAGTGACGTGAGAGCCTCGACGCTGTTGTGAAAATGACCAGGAAGAAGAGTTCACGAGTAGCCACGAGATGGCCATTTTGGAGCCAGAAGAGCTCTCCATGCAGAAACAAGAGGAAGTTAACCTCAGGAATAGATTTCCTTTTGGGGAGGATAAAGGTACCTGCATGGAAGGCGGTGAGAGGGGCAGCTTCCATGTTTCAGAACCCCAGTTCCTAGAAAGGCCCAAGCCTGTAATCCCAGCACTTTGGGAGGCCGAGGCAGGTGGATCACGAGGTCAAGAGATCGAGACCATCCTGGTCAACATGGTGAAACCCGGTCTCTACTAAAAATACAAAAAATTAGTTGGGCATGGTGGCGGGTGCCTGTAATCCCAGCTACTCAGGAGGCTGAGGCAGGAGAATTGCCTGAACCCAGGAGGCGGAGGTTGCGGTGAGCCGAGATCGCGCCATTGCACTCCAGCCTGGGTAACAAGAGTGAAACTCCGTCTCAAAAAAAAAAAAAAAAAGAAAAGAAAGGCCCAGTCTCCCAGCATTTCTCTGAAAAACTCAGATCCCTGTGCCCTCTTATTTCTGATGGATTTTAACTGTGACCTGGGGGTGGGTGTGCACTATTTTCTAACATAACTTGTGATCCAGAAAGGTCCTGGTGCCTCCTTCTGATCTTCCTTTCCCCCACAGGCCATCTGGCCGTCAAGAAAAGCATCCCAGAGGAGGAAGAAATGTTATACGTCCTAAGGCCAAGTTGCAGTGAGTTACCTTTTTGTTCATTTAGTGATTTGTGTTTATACAACTTAAGACTATTTACTTTCCTGTGGCACATATCCTTCCAAAAAGCCATTTATCCTCATTCTTCCCCGGATATGACAGGGTCCTGCAGGTCATTCCTTGCGTAGTCTCCACTGACCCACTCTCTTCTCTAAGTACTCACCTACCTGTTTGTCAAATGGTTCAAGCCCTGCGTACTCTGCTTGTCTACAAGTCTAATGGTATAGAAGTGATTAATTCTAGCACTTTATATTACAGCGTGGCTTGGTAAGGAAAGGATTTGGTTTTGGGTGGAAGGAAACACCAACTATCTTTGGTCTTTTGTTTATTTTTTTATTATGGTAGTCGTTATTAATTTTTTTAACATGGTTAATTTTTTCAATTTTTAAATAATTTGCAAATGACAAATTGATTTATTGTGTATATGTTTAGATATATGTATACATTATAAGATGATTAAATCAAGCTGATGAACACATCCATCACGTCATTAATTATTTTTGTCATGAGAACATTTAAACAATACTCTCTTAGCAATTTTCAAATATTCTACATATACATATTATTATTATTATTGTTTTGAGATGGAGTTTTGCTCTTGTTTACCCAGGCTGGAGCACAATCTTGGCTCCCTGTAACCTCTGCCCCCTGAGTTCCAGTGATTCTCCTGCCTCAGCTTCCTGAGTTGCTGGGATTACAGGTGCATGCCACCATGCCTGGCTAATTTTTGTATTTTTAGTAGAGATGGGGTTTCACCATGTTGACCAGGCTGGTCTCGAACTCCTGACCTCAAGTGATCTGCTCACCTTGGCCTCCCAAAGTGCTAGTATTACAAATATGAGCCACCGTGCCCTGCCTTTGGCCTAATTTTTAATCACTTTTTTTTTTCACACTCTTGAGTTGTGTGAGTTTCTTGTATATTGTGAATATTAACTGCTTATCAGATGTATGGTTTGCACATATTTCCTTCAAATACATAGGTTCTCTCTTCACTCTGCTGATTGTTCTGCTGTGCAGAAGTTTTTTTTTTTTTTTTTTTGAGACGGAGTTTCGCTCTTGTTACCCAGGCTGGAGTGCAATGGCGCGATCTCGGCTCACGCAACCTCCGCCTCCTGGGCTCAGGCAATTCTCCTGCCTCAGCCTCCTAAGTAGCTGGGATTACAGGCACACGCCACCATGCCCAGCTAATTTTTTGCACCTTTAGTAGAGACGGGGTTTCACCATGTTGACCAGGATGGTCTCGATCTCTCGACCTCGTGATCCACCCGCCTCGGCCTCCCAAAGTGCTGGGATTACAGGCTTGAGCCACCGCGCCCGGCCTGTGCAGAAGTTTTAATTGGATGCAGTTCATTTGCCTATTAGCCACCATGCCCAGCCTTGATTTCTTTTTCAAATAATTGTTAGTGTATAGGGATATTATTGATTTTTTTTATGTTGATGTTGCTACTATAACTTTACTGAATTCCTTTTTTATTTCTAATCATTTTTTGATGGAGTTTTTAGGGTTTTCTATATGTATAAGATCATGTCATCTGCAAACAGGGACAGTTTAACTTCTTCCCTTCCTGTTTGATTGGCTTTTATTTCTTTTCTTTCTTTTTTTTTTTTTTGAGATGGAGTTTCACTCTTGTTACCCAGGCTGGAGTGCAATGGCGCGATCTCGGCTCTCCGCAACCTCCGCGTCCTGGGTTCAGGCAATTCTCCTGCCTCAGCCTCCTGAGTAGCTAGGATTACAGGCACCCGCCACCATGCCCAGCTAATTTTTTGTATTTTTAGTAGAGATGGGGTTTCACGATGTTGACCAGTATGGTCTCAATCTCTCAACCTCGTGATCCACCCGCCTCGGCCTCCCAAAGTGCTGGGATTACAGGCTTGAGCCACCGCGCCCGGCCCTCTTTCTTTTTTTTTTTGAGGCAGAGTCTCACTCTGTCACCCAGGCTGGAATGCAGTGGGGCGCAATCTCAGCTCACTGCAACCTCCGCCTCCTGGGTTCAAGCAATTTTTCTGCCTCAGCCTCCCAAGTAGCTGGGATAACGGCACACACTGCTATGCCCAGCTAATTTTTGTATTTTTAGTAGAGATGGGGTTTCGCCATGTTGGCTAGGCTGGTCTCAAACTCCTGACCTTAAGTGATCCACCCGTCTCAGCCTCCCAAAGTGCTGGGATTACAGGCGTGAGTCACTGCACCCAGCCAATTTTCTTTCTTTTCTTGCCTAATTGCTCTGCCTAAGGCTTCTAGTACTATATTGATTAGATGTGGTAAGAGTGGGATCCTCTTCTTGTTCCTGATCTTTCAACTTTCCACCATCGATTATGATGTTAGTTAAGTGCTTGTGTTATATCACCTTTATTATATTGAGGTACATTTCTGTATGCCGAAATCTTTTGAGAGTTTATATTAGGAAACACTTTTGAATTTTGTCAGATGCTTTTTCTGCATCTATTGTGATGATCATGTGGATTTTACTATTCATTCTGTTAATGTGCTGTATCACATTTATAGAGTTGTATATGTTGAACTATACTCGCATTCCTGGGATAAATCCTACTTGACCATGGTGAATGATCCTTTTTACATGCTGCTGAGTTCATTTTGCTAGTATTTTGCTGAGTAGAAATGTTGCCTTTATGTCCATCAGAGGTATTGGCCGCCAATGTTTCTTGTCTTGCAGTGTCCTTGTTGGGTTTGGTCATGCTGGTCTTATAAAATGAGGTTGGAGATAGTCCCTTCTCTTGAATTTTCCAGAAGAGTTTGAGAAGCGTTGTATTAGGTTTTTGAATGTTTGGTAGAATTCAGCAGTGAGGGCATCAGGTCCTGGTCTTTCATGGGAGAGATTTGCTTACTCAACCTCCTTACCTGTTGTGGGTGTGTTCAGATTTTGTATTTCATCGTGATTCAATCTTGGTAGATTGTATATTACTAGGAATTTGTTCAGTTCTTCTACATTATTCCATTTTTTTGGCATATGAATTTTCATAGTAGTCACTTGTGGTCCTCTGTTTTGCTGTAGTATGAATTGTAATGTCTCTTATTTCCAAGTTTTTAGTTTGAATATTCTCTCATTCTTTCATTGTTAGTCTAGTTAAACGTTTGTGAGTTGTTTATATTTAAAAAAAAAAAAGTTGCATTGATGTTTTTCTATTCTACTCTTTTATTTCTGATTTTACCTTAATTATTAACTTTGTTCTACTACTTTAGGCGTATTTTATTCTTTTGTTAGTTCCTTTTGGTGTGTTGTTAGGTTGTTTGAGGACTTTCTTTTTTAAAGTAGATGTTTACTGCTTTAAACTTCCCTATTAGAACTGCTTTTGCCTCATTTCATAAGTATTGCCAAGACATACTGAAAGGATCTTCACAATCAGGGAGGTGACATTTGCTTTAGTCACTCTGTTTTTCCAATATTAGGCTTAGCGTCAGCTTCTTTCTGTGCTGTAACAAACCGTCAGATTTAGTAGCTTAAAACAACAAAATATATCTTAAGCCATCAGAAGTCAAGTAGATTTCATAGGGCCAAAACTGAGGTGTAAAGGCTGTGTTCCTTTTTGCAGACTTTAGGAGCTTTTCTGTTTCCTTCCTTTCCTGGCTTCTAGAGGCTGGCATTCCTTGGGTCCCCCCAACTCTGTGTCATCAAAGTCAGCACAGACAAGTCATTCTCACTTCACCTCTCTTCGTTTCTGCCCCTGTCATAACCTATTTCTCTTCTTCTGACCCCCCTCATCTACTTCTAATGACTCTGTGATTATATTGGACACACTGGCACAATTCAGGATAATCTCCCCATCGTAGGGTTAGCTGATTAGCAACTTAAGTCCATCTACAACTGAAATTTCCCTTACCGTGCAGCACCACATATGCCTGCATTCATGAATCAGGTAGGGTATGGACATTTTTGAGATACACTTATTTTGCTTTCCACAAGCCTATCCATTCAAACATTTGTTAATAACTATAGGGTACCAGCACCTTCAGAACTCTGATTTCTTTTACCTTGAGTAATCATTTTTAAATTTATTTTTATTTTAGAGCTGAAGTGTCACTGTCACCCAGACTGCAGTGCAGTGGTACCATCTTGGCTCACTGCAACCTCCGCCTCCTAAGTTCAAGTGATTTCCTGCCTCAGCCTCCTGAGTAGCTGGAACTTCAGGTGTATGCCTCTATGGCAGGCTAATTTTTGTATTTTTAGTAGAGATGGGTTTTTACCATATTGGTCAGCCTGGTCTCAATCTCCTGACGTCCGGCGATCCTTCCACCTTGGCCTTCCAAAGGGCTGGGATTACAGGCATAAGCCACTGTGCCCATCCCAAGAAATCATTTTTTTACATTTAGGACTTCCTTAAGTTATATTTCTTTTATTTATGTATTTGTTTGTTTGTTTGTTTTTGTTTTTTATT